CCAAACAGACTACAAACAGACAACAGTTTAACTCTCAGTCACATGAATCACTATTAAAAATCAAAATTGTAACTGCTCCAACTTAACATTGACTTTCACTGTCACTTTGCCACTTCTTATCTTTAACTTTCACATATTAGAACTATGAGACACCTTGTTTATTTGTTATTCATTTGTCTTTATCTCACAGTGTTTGCACATGTTTTCATTTATTTATTCTAGTTCTATTTATTACAAAGTATTTTGTAAATCACTACGAGCTACACCCTCTGTAATATTATAATTATTATTACCATTAATAAATATACTATCACATAAACCTTTATTAGACGGTCCCTCCAGGATTTTGCACCTTAAATGCTAAGGAGGTTTCCAAATTCACCATGAACCAACATCCTCAGTTTTCTCTCAATTTTAACATCAACATTTTCACTAAAATTAACTACATTTTGTAAGTTAAAATGCAAACATCTCAGATTCACCCTCCAAACAGTGTGATTTTATTCTGACTGGAACAAGTCTCCTTTGATTTTTTATTTATTATGCCTTACTGGCTCAAAAACAAATGAAAAAAGATATTTAACAAATTATTTTTTACACATACAGCAGTGATGTCGGAGGCCAAACAACGAGGAACATCAAAAAACGTTAAAGGTTAAACCTGCAGGCCACCAGGGCGTCCAGATAAGACTTTTAGACCCTCTGCGCTGTTATTACATTTATGTCTCGACTAATTTTGTTGTGTCAATCAGTGAAATAACACACGCTTGGTCCTCTGTAGCTGGACATCCATTCTAATAATGAGATACATACCCATATAGCCGAGTGTGCCCACCCTGCCTCGCACCAGACTCCCCTCAGACAGCCTCACAGCCAGGCCCAGGTCAGAGATGCGGATGTGTCCTTTAGGGAACAAATACCAATAAATCCACTGAACTGATTTGAGATTTTTGCGGTTGTGACGCACTTTTCTTTTTTACTCATTCCTGCTTCCCACACTTGCAGCTTAACCGAAAGCAGGACTTGGTACCGGTTCTTGAAACAAAAAATAGAAACCACGTGACAGCTGTAAGTACTCTAACCACTCATTTGTAATTACCAAGGCATGCAAAAAAACAGATGTGGTTCCAGGTCTTCCAAGAATGAAGAAACAGGTGCAGAGGTTACTTAAAATAGCCGACACCATACCTGACTAAATTTTTACTTCCTCAAACCACCTTTGTTTGTACCCATATCAAAATACCTTCACCACTGCTTCCTCCTTGAGAGCATCCCAAGTATTAAACTGACTGACTGAGCGATTGTTTGGCAGTAGTTGAACTGTTATCATTTAAATCATTCCGACTATTTTCAGAGCTATAAATAGTCAAGGCATAAGGAGGCTGTCATAGATTTCATCATGTTCTGTCTACAGAGATTGGAAGGTGATTATTATTGTTATTATTGGTTATTATTGTACATTAGCTGTTGCTGCAGAGCTTTTTATAGCACACTGATCATTAAAACAAACATGAGGTGTTTATTGAGACTGTACATACCGTTGTCGTCCAACAGAATGTTTTCTGGTTTCAGATCCCTGGAAGATCAAACACAACATTTCAATCAGTTCACGACAGTAGAGATGTGAATTAAAGGGGTTGTTCGGGTTTTATGAAGTGACTTATCTATAGTCAATGTACGGCAGTGGGCAGTGGGCATGTCCCCAGTTTGGAGAAGCAGACAGGAGTGTCGGCATGGAAGCTGAGCAATGTACTGCTGGCTAAAATCGGTTTAGTTGCTGACCCCGTCCACAGCAGGATTAGTTTCCATGCTGGTACTCCTGTCTGCTTCTCCAAACTGGGAGCATCCCACCGCTGTCTACAGCAGGTAATAATAGTAATATCTTTATTTATATAGCACAAAACAAAGTTACAATGTGGTTTTCATAAAAAGCAAAGAACACATAAAAACACAGCAATAAAAAGTAGTAAAGTAACTATCTCGAAAATTTAAACCCTTAAAAAGAATAGAAACCAGAATAAGACGGTGTGCTTAAAGTACATTTTGAGTTTAGATTTGAAATAAGTACTTCAAACAACCCCACTTAAAAAAAAAAAAAAAAACCCTTTAACCCTTTAATTTGGAAAAACACACTCACCTGTATACTATTGAATTCTGGTGGAGGTGAATTATACCGCAGCAGACCTCTGCAGCGTAGAACTGCACTCTGTCTTTGTCCAGGCCGGGCACGCCGATGTTATAAATATGAAACCTCAAGTCCCCGCCGCTCATCATGGTCAGAACCATACAGAGGGCGTGCTTGGTCTCATAAGCGTATGCCAGATTCACCTAAATGCAGAATGAGGAAGTGAATTGTGTGTAGAAGTGTAGATCAGTTTTAAACTGTTATTACTATAATAATAAGGGTGGCAATATTCTATAAAGAATAGATAGGGGAGGTGATGTTTTATGTTTACCTTATTGTCAATGAATCCAATATAAAGAATAAAACCACAATGTGTAAGTTTGCTTCTAAAGACTTCCTCAAGATGTGAATCTTTAAAAACACCTCACAAATATAGAGTTTAATCTTTTTAAAAGAGTTGATTATGTCCAAAAACAGCTGCTCAGTATAGGAGGGAATAGTGCATTACTTGGGGACTATTTCTATTAAAATGCAATTGTGTGGTTCATTGATGTATTTCCGGACAAGAATTAGCACAGAGGAAGACTGTAATTTTTACCTTTTTATAAGATTTTTTGACCATCATAGAATAGAAAGCTTATTTGAAACGATGGGAAGCAGGCATAAAGCTAAAGGCTAACACAGAGGGAACGTAACTGTAGTAATCTCACCACAAATCGACTGTCCAACCCTTCCAGTATCTGTTTCTCATTGAGAGCCATGGCCTCTCCTCTCCTCTTCTTTACATGAGTCTTCTCCAGCTTTTTGCAGGCGTACATCATCCCTGTGGCTCGCACCTGACAAGCCCACACCTGGAAACAATACACAAAGAAGTTTTAAAGTGACAACAGTGATTTGCAGCATCTCAACAATGACTCTGATTGACTGAGCTATAGTTATTATTTTAATCACTCAGACTAATTTCCGAGCTATAAATAGTCAAGGCAAAAGGTGGCTGTCAAAGGTTTCATAATGTTCCATCTACAGAGTTTAGAATGTGATCTGCTTCTAGGTTATTATCGTACATTAGTTGTACCTCGGAAAAACTGACAGGGAACCAATACTGATTTTCCTTCATGTGCTTGGACATCAAATAGTCTGAAATTTCTTCGTAATAGTCTTAAAAAGGTCTTTAAAAGTATTAAATATAAACTCATTATAGTATATAGTCCCTGGTATAGGTCATGTCACCAAAAACACTGGATCCCACATTTCCCATAATGTAACAAAATAGCATCTTTTGGTAGATCCTCTCTGACTGATAAATGCCCTTTACAAACTCCAAGTTCCCAATCCGTAAAATAAAGTCTTCCACTTTGATTATAAATTTGCCATTTGAAGTGCTCAGAGATCTTCTTTTAGCCCCTGATTCTAGTCATTCATCTATTTAAATAAAATCCTCTTAGATCTCACTGCAGCAAGATTCTGGTATACCGTATACTCTGATAGCTCAGATAGCCCAAACGTTTGCTAAATTAAGTGATATATTGCATGGATCTAATTGTGTGGACATTTTTACCATCAACTGAGCGACTTAAAAAATCTCCTGGCATCACTGGCACTGTGTTAGACTGGTTTCACTCAATATCTCCGAAATAGTACTTTTACTGTAGCTATTAGTGATTGCAGATTGCAGTTCCTCAGGGGTCAATCCCTGGCCTCCTGCTTTTCTGCATTTACATGTTAGGACACAATCCGCAGACACAATTATTTAAATTAATTATGTTCCATTTTTACATTTTTCCACTTTTTTTTTTTACACTTTAAATTTATTTCTCTTTCGATCCCACTAACAACAACTAATTAATCACTCTCAGGGCTGTCCTGTCAAATAATTTCTCTCAAGTGAATCCATAAAAATCCAAAGACACTGCACGCAATCACATCTCATCACAACTTGGCTCATTCTCCACCAGTATCACCTCTAAATGCAGAAATCTTGACACGATCTGTGATAATAATTTCAGCATGTGAAAATAAATACCCAGTCTTGTTGTTTTTGTTACACGAAACCTCTAAAATCTGGTCTTTTCTGTCTCGCTAGAAAATGGTCATTCATGCATTTATCCCTTCCCGTTTAGACGACTATAAATTCCTCCACTCATGCTTAGGCAAACACGATCTCTTCAGACTATATTCAATTCAAAATGCAGTTTCTATACTCCTCAGGAATT